AACCCTTTTGGTTCGCCGGGAAGCCCTTATTTTTGCCTAGGTATGTCAACCTAGCGGGTCTTTTATTCATGCGTAGTATCTTTTCACTATGTCTTCATTGGCAGGGTGAGGAAGGTCGTCACCATCCATGGTGGTTAGGATCATGGCTCCTCCTGAGAACACATGTTTAACCATAAATGGCCCTTCGTATGTAGGGGTCCATTTGCCCTGGGGATCATTTTGAGGAAGGATGATGCGTTTGATTACCAGGTCCCCAACTTGATACTCTTGTGGTCTGACTTTCTTGTTAAATGCCCTGATCATCCGTTTTTGATACGTCTGACCATGACAGATAGCGGTGAGTCTCTTCTCGTCAATCAGGTTTAATTGATCAAGTCGAGTCTGGATCCAGTCATCTTCATTCAAGTCTGCATCCTTCATTATCCGGAGAGAGGGTATCTGGACTTCAATTGGCAAGACTGCCTCCATGCCATAGACCAAGGAGAAAGGAGTTTCCCCGGTTGACGTCCTTGCTGAGGTACGATACCCATGAAGAGCGAACAGTAACATCTCGTGCCAATCTTTATAGGTCACTGTCATCTTCTGCACAATTTTCTTGATATTCTTATTAGCTGCCTCTACAGCCCCATTCATCTTCGGCCGGTAGGGAGAAGAGTTGTGGTGCTGTATCTTGAATTGTTCGTAGAGTTCAGTGATCATCTTGTTATTGAGATTGGTACCATTGTCCGTAATGATTCTTTCCGGGACGCCGTATCGACAGATCAGATTATGCCGGATGAAACGTGCCACGACGCTCTTGGCTACCGTTGCGTAGGAAGCTGCCTCAACCCACTTCGTGAAGTAATCGATTGCGACCAAGATGAAACGATGCCCGTTGGATGCCGTCGGTCGGATCTCACCGATCATATCAATGCCCCACATTGCAAAAGGCCAAGGTGCCGTCAGGACGTTCAGAGGAACCGGAGGAATATGCACCTTGTCAGCATAGATCTGACATTTATGACAAGTTCGAGAGTATTGGTAACAATCGGCTTCCATTGTGGACCAGAAATATCCTGCCTGAAGGATTTTCTTAGCCATGGTGTGTCCACTGGAATTTGATTTTGAAGTCCAGCGGGATACCCTGACTTTTGCCTAAGCGACTTGTTTTTTCAAGTTTTGAATTAGCAAGGCTTTTTGTCTCTTTCTTTTACTATTTCTTTTAGTTTGAACCAGTCGTGTGATTTTGAGTCATTATTTGATTTGTTGAAAAAGGTGTGACTGCCTTGCTGTTTGGTTGACGGGAAATAGCCATTATGGTATCGTCACCTTTTGACTTTTCGATGTGCGAGAGATATCTATTAGGATATCATTATCATTGATGCACACTGCTGATATATAAGAGTTTAACCACTATGGTTTTGTTCTTTCTCAACCTTCTGAAGGATAACCTTTGTTGTATCCTTTGATGTGCACTTTTAATGAGTTTTGAATGCCCAATCAGATTAACTGAAATCTACCCTGCCCCGGGTTAAATGTGAGGGTTTTTCTGAAAAGCAAAGAAACTCCTACTTCAAGGCTCAAAGGGGTTGACGAGGGTCTATCTCCCTTATATCTCCGGTGTTTGGGAATTTGAAACAAGGCCTGTACATCGTCAGCAGGGTCCTACTCAAAAGCACACCGTTTGAAATTTTTGGTATATTGCTCATCATCCTCCCTTCAGATATTTTTTTTATTTAACAAGAGTTAAGTATCAAAAAGTAGAGAAAAAACATTAATGAGTGAATACGAATGGATTAATTTAAGACAAACATATTCAATGCATTATGATTAATATTCAAGAATCAACAAGTTTTGCATACAAGAAAGTACTGAACCAAAGCAAGAAAGATTACAAATGAGAATTGAAAATGAAACTAGAAATTACTATGTTGAGGAGACCAGTCTCGGTATGGACTTGTTGCTTCAGATGATGATCTGGCAATCTTGACATTTACTGAGTCGAAGGAGACCACAAATTTAACTGACTGGCCCGAAATTGATAGCCTTTGCATCAAGCAGGTCTTGCTCATTTTCTTTGAAAGCCCAGTAGTCTTCAATGGAATGACCTAGTGCCCCAGCATGGTAATCACACTGCACATTAGGATTGGAATCCATAGAACAAGGAGGAATGACATGCTTCAGTGGCTTGGGTTCCACCAAGGAAATCTTGAGTAACTGAGAGAACAGCTGGCCATAAGTCAAAGGAACAATGTCGAACACCCTCTTAGGCTTCTTATCCTTTTGCTTACCTTGTTGCGTATGTATTTGTTGATAGGTTTGTTACCGAGTAGCACACTGAGCCAAGTGAACACGAGGAACATTCTGGTTTTGATTAACCAACCGATTTCCACAACTTACAAACGACTGCTGGTGAGAACTTTCCGGGATTATAGGTTATGGATGACATGACTCTGATCGTGAAATAGAACTTTGAAGAGGAGAAGGCGTAGCCATATTCTTTGTAGTGGTTGGCATAAGATTGATTTGCACACTCAGACCTTCGGGAGTGAAGAGAATTGTCCCTGCATCAAGCAAGTCCTGGACTTGGTGCTTAAAAGCTACGCAATCTTCAGTATCATGACCAGGTGCCCTAGAATGAAAATCGCACCTAGCATTGTCGGCAAAGCCATGAGGGCGTTTTTCATGTGTAGTGAAAATTCGGAGTTTAACCAAATGTAATTCTAGCAGGGGAGGAAGCAATTGTGCATACAACATTGGAATAGGATCAAATTTTCGTTCAGGCTGTTTTGGCCTTTGCTGACGGACTTTGCCTTTTGGGTCCTCTCGGGAAGTGACAACTTGTTGCGGATGGGAGGATCCTGGAATGCATGGTTGCGGATGAGGTACTCCTTGTCCTATAAGGGTCCTCAGGTTATGGGGAGGAATGGTAACTCCTATTGTGGCAGGCATAGAAACATCTTCTTTCTTCAACATTGTCCCCAAAATTTCCATAACCAAATTCAATTGAGTCTTCAACTGAGTGTTCTCTTCTTTCAGGAGGTCTTGTCCACGGACCAAATCCTGCATGTCTAGCACCACGAATCCCATCTGTTCTTTCATCTCGTCCAATTCCCCACGAAGTTGTTCCATATCTTGAATCTGACCAAGAAGCGACGAGAAGTCAAGATTTGCAGTTCTGAAGAGAAAATACCGAGTCTGAATAAGGATTCCCCATTCTGAGTACCTTCGGAGTACCTGCTATGGATGCATGAGGTGAATGAGAGGATGTAATGCCATGTTCAAACATTTTTTTTTGCATATAATCTTTCACATTTCCTTTTTTGTGTAAAATAAACATGTTATGATGCAAGGTGCAATGACATAAGTTCAAAAGTTCAGCATAACAATTGTACAATCCTCTGGATAACTGCTGTATAAATCTGCTGAATAATATGGATATCACAGGATCAAAGGTTCAGAACCAAATTCAGCATACAATGGAACCAAGTACCATGATTAACCGTTGTATAATCTCTGACCAAGTAAAATATATCAGGATCAAAGGTCCAGAATATAACTAGATAACCATCCTGAATACCGAATCCAGAAGAAAAAAAAATCTGAGACCCATATAGTCACCAACAGAACACCATATGCATAAGTCATTGACAGAAGTCCATAACATGATCATTAGAACCACTAATCACCATCCGATCATAGTCTCCATCTGAGCATGAGTAACCATTTGAACATAGTCACCAACTGCACCTGTGATAAAATTCCCTCCCTGCTCACGGGTGAAGACTAGGTCAGGGTAAGACAATGGTAACTCAAAAATCATGGGTCCTCCTGAAAGTACTATGGGCTTACCCACAGACGTGGGTGCCGATAGTAATTCATTTGAACCTCATCCGAGCGTGGTATATGACAAGACTGCACTAATTGGACCATGTCCTATAGTCGTCATGCCCCCACTCTATTCCTAGTGTCCTAGTGCACTCTGGCCTGGGTACTGGGCCTTTTACCTCAATAGTAACATCCCTACCCAACATGGAAAACAGAGTCCAGCATAATAGATAACAAATAGGGAAAGCAATAAAATGCAATGCAAACTTATGCTCAGGCAAACATGTACAAATAAGTAAACTGAAAGCATAAAAATAGACACCCAAAGAAAAGAAAGCAAGAGCTAGGAGCGACTCCGGGATGGACCAGCATTTGGTCGACCTGTCCCCAGTGAAGTCGCCAGCTGAAACAACCGGCTGAAAATCACCAAACAATGAAGTCGCCATCGAACGTATTTTATCCCACGTGAAGGGAAAGGTAAACATCGAGAAAACCCGAGAAGGATGAAATCAAGGTCGAACGACCTAGAGATAAGGGTAAGGGAGTCTGTTACGCGAGGGGAAGGTATTAGCACCCCACACGCCCGTAGTACTCTACGGTATCCACTCTTGTTATCTATCTTATGGGTGTGTTTAATCTATGCTTACTGTTTATTATTGCTAAAGGGAAAGTGCATGCAAAAGAAAAGGAGAAAAGAATGTAGGGAAAATAAAATTGTGCTTGCTTGGGCCCTACCCCGATGCCTACGTATCCCTTTTAAGGAATCAGAGCAGCCGTAGTTCGGCTTATGTGTTTTTGTTTGTTTGTATTTTCTTTAACGAACAATATTAATCTCGCCTTCTGCCGTAACTCGACCTTTGGAGATTTACGCGTCAGCACAGAAGTGAATTAATACACTCTTTTGAAAAGGGTTTGAAAGAAAGGCCCGAGGGCAAAAAGATTTTTATGTTTGTTGGTGTTTTTGCTTGTAGATAATAGCTAGTTAACCTCAAGAGAGAGATTTTAGCCATTTCTCTATTTATTCATGAAATGAGTCTTTGAGACTTGAATCATACCAAAGCTTAGAACAAGAGAATAATAATGTCGAGAAGAAACCCGCTCATCATCTCTCAAACTTAGCCAAGACATGGTTTTTGTCAGTAAATTTTTATGTATTTTTGAAGTTTGTAAAAAAAAGAAGTTTTTGTTTTTAAATGCATATGCGAAAAGAAGGAAAGAAAGTCACAGGAAGACAAAAGTCACAAGAAGACGAAAGTCACAGGAATACGAAAGTCACAGGAAGACGAAAGTCACAGGAAGACGAAAGTCACAGGAAGACGAAAGTCACAGGAAGACGAAAGTCACAGGAAGACGAAAGTCACAGGAAGACGAAAGTCACAGGAAGACGAAAGTCAAAGGAAGACGAAAGTTACAGGAAGACGAAAGTCACAGGAAGACGAAAGTCACAGGAAGACGAAAGTCACAGGAAGACGAAAGTCACAGGAAGACGAAAGTCACAGGAAGACGAAAGTCACAGGAAGACGAAAGTCACAGGAAGACGAAAGTCACAGGAAGACGAAAGTCACAGGAAGACGAAGGTCACAGGAAGACGAAAGTCATGGGAAGACGAAAGTCACAAGAAGACGAAAGTCACAGGAAGACTAGCCTATTTATAAATATAATGTTATCGTGTATTAGACCTAAAGTTAGAATCTCGAGGGAATTCTACCTAGAAAGTAGTAAAGTGCAGGAGTAAAAATAGAGTTGTGACGATACCGAACGGAGAAGGTCCGTTGCCTCTTCAAAATTGTGCAAGCGGTAAGGAAATTCTATCAACGTTCCCTTGGGCAAGTGATTGAAGAATTAACCCCGAGTATTCCACACTGCCAGAGTTATGTCGATGCTATCACAAAAATCTTGACTAAAAAGTGGCAATAAAAATGATTACCAAATATGAGAAATAAAATAGTAAAAAATTCTAATCGAAATTCTAAAAAGAAATTCTAACGAATTCTAAAATATTCTATTATTTTGTATCATTTCATTATCAATTGAGAGAGAAAATTAAACTAAAAGAAAAAACTAAAATAATAAAAGAAAAGAAAAAATTAGAAGAATCAGGGGGTACAAGCTGAATTCAGGGATGTGATATGGAAAACATGCACTAGGCCCAAAATACTTGAATTCAATAGCATAATAATGGTTTGCTTTAAAAAAAATGCAGGCCCAAGAGAATGGGTGTAATCTGACCCATACCAATCAACATATTTCTAATTAATCTACAATCCTTAGCATACTAGTTTTATTATATATTTTAGTTTCTTATTGAATAATAAAAAAATAAAACAAATAAAAAGAAAGTAAAAAAAGAAACTGAGGGAAATTAAAAAAGGGGATTTAGGGTTGAAAGATAGATATGTTCTCTTCTTCTCGGTAGCACAGCGCCGCCACCTCTTCTTCCGTCATCGCCGCTTCAATCTCAGACCAGTCTCTAATCCGCTATCTGCATCAACTATACTTGTCTTCAACATTCACAGCATCATCACTTCGTTCTCATTACACAACGGCTCCGTCTCAGACTCAACGGCTCCACCATGGAAGCAAAATGCTGCTGCTCAACTATCAAACTCAAATCATCAGTTCGCGAATCATCACCTTCTTCAATTCTTCCTTTGATCGGAGATGCTCCGATGGCATTTCGACAACGCCGGTAACGAGAAAACTCAGGTAAGCGCTCATAATCTCTTGTTCGTTCTTCTCCCACTTCTTCCTTCTGCTCTCAATCCTCTGATGTGTAATGATGTTGTTGTTCTGTGATGCAAACTCGAAATGCAGAGATCACGTTGCGTTGTAGTGGTGGCGGTGTTGATGAAGATTATATGGTGAAAATGGCAAAAACTGTGTTGTCGTGATGAATACCTGGCTTGAAAATTTATGATAGAGGTTACGCAGTGATGAAGGGTTTGGAGATGGTTTGAAGCTGTTTGTGCTTGAAGGTGATGGAGTTTTGTTGAAGGTGAATGAGGATGTGAAGTGGCTGCAATTGTTGGTGAAGAAAGATGATTGAAGAAAGAAAGTTGAAGATGAAGATGATGAAGGATGCTAATGAAGATCGGAAGAGAGAAGTGAGAGAATTCTCAAATATTTGTTTTGGTGGTGATGGAGAAGGAAGCAGAGAGAAGAGGGTGAAATTTTGGTGATTCTCCGGTGAACTTGAAGAATAAGATGATTTAGAGGTAATCTTTTTTTCTGTGTTGAATTTCCTCCCCCCTTCTGTTAATCCCCATTATGTATATATGCTGGAAGTTTTGTTGTAAAATAAGCCATGAGTTGGTTATGTGGTTAGTTAATTTTGTTAGGAAGTTAGGATGCAGTTTGTTATGCAGTTATAAGTGGTTAGAAGGTTTGAGAGTTTGTTATGAATTGGTTGGAGTTAGAGGAGTTAGGCTGTTAGAGGAAGTTGTGTTACAGTAGTTAAGAGATGAGCTGGAAAATCGGTTAGAGGGGAGGTTATGTGTTAGTTTTGGAATGAAGAGTAGCTAGGATACTGTTTAGTTATTTTTCTGCTGGACAGTTAGGGAATATGACAGTTTAGTAGCAAATTAGTTAGAAATTCTATTGTGAAAGGAGGTTAATGGATTTAGCTAAGTTTGTTGAAGGCAATTTTGTTATTAAGAGGTAATATGCTATGTGAAGAAGTTAGTAGTTTGAACGAAAATGTTAGTTGGAATTGGTTAATTTCGGTTAGGAGTTGGTTTGTTGTCTTCTGTGGCCTATCACCCTCTTTCTTTTCAGGAACTAGTAAGCTATCGTCATCATCAATGGGTAAGCCAAAATCATCATACTTCCTCACATCCTTTCTGCTAGCTTTTGTTGGTAAACTGCCTCTTGCATTTAGAACCACCTTCCCAAGGCCCGTTCCAGGATTCGGTTGTTTATCAGCATAGGGAACATGTTCAGTTTTTGATTTCTTAGGAATTCCAGAACTAGATTGATCAGCATCTGTCTTACGTTTCAACTTAATATACTTTCTGGTACCTTCACTATAAGCAAATCTATTGGAAAAAGTTACGTAGAAAGGGATCAGTCCAATCTCAAGAGATGGAGCTTGACAGCATAGAATTTCATTAGCTAAAACAGTAGCTGGAACTTCAACTTCCCCAAACATACAGGACTAGTTACATATTTCCACATTTGGTTTACTCTTCAAAACTGTTCCAATAATAAACACCTGAATTTCTGATTCAGCATAAGCCCATTTAGGTTAAAAATTATGTATGCTAAAGAGCTGGTCTTGAGATAGGGAAAGGTTCAATGAGGTATCATCTATCATATTCCCATATTCATCTGTGCCCCATGGAATACCAAGAAACAAGTTTCACAAAGTTTTCATTCAAAGCAATTCCTGCTTCTGCCAAGTACTTAGGTACACTAGACATGTTTTCCATACCACCAGCCACAACAACATCATTTATGCCCAATTGAATACTCTGTGCAGCAAGCATTGTAGCTTTCATTCCTGATGCACAAACTTTGTTAACAGTAGTGCAGACTACAGATTTGGATAGTCCAGCTCTGAGAGCAGCTTGTCTGGCGGGAGCTTGCCCCAAATTTGCACTAAGGACATTCCCAAAGAATACTTCTTCCACAAGTTATGGGACAACATTAGCTCTTTTAAGAGCAGCTTCAATAGCTATAGAGCCAAGCTTCGTGGCAGGTACAGATGAAAGAGCGCCAAGAAACCCACCCATTGGTGTACGTGCAACACCAACAATGCAAACATCTCTAGGTTGTATAGAGTCTGAAGATGCTGCTGTAGGAGCCATTGATAGATGAAAAATGAATCGTTAGGTTAAGGTGTTGTGGTGATTGTTGAAGAAGCGAAGAACGGAAGAGAATGAAAGAGAATTGGGAAGAAAAAATGGAGGGAAGAAGAGTGTGGTTTGGTTAATTAATGGTTTTTCATGTGTCGAGTAATTTGTATGAGCATAGTATATTTTGGCATGATTGCTTGTATTGACTTGGATTTTTTTTTGTATGAATGTGCAGGTCATGAACTGAAGATGAAGAACTTTGGCATGGCATGGAATTAGAAGTTTACTCATGGAATTTTAGCACCTTTAGGACTAAAGAATTTTGTTCAAGTGTATTTTGTAACAGTTTTCTTTTCTTTGTAGAATATTGGTGTAATGGGATTTTAATGATTTTATAATGAATGTTTGGTTTGGATGAACTTGAAATTTATAGTGTGAATTGTAAATGACCTTTGAGCTTGAAATGTTGGGTGATGAATTTTTTTGGACGGAGTTTAAATGACAAAGTCTTGAAAAAATGCTTGAAGATATGAAAGCATCAAATTTTCTTGTAAGGTATTGTTACACTTGAATGAAATTGAATGGAATTGGATAGTAATTTCTTGAATAAATGTTTGAACGCATTGTGAACTTGAATCTGAAATAACGGTGAACATCTTTGTAATGCGTATGAACTCTGACTTGAAACAAAACCTCGCAGTCTGTACTTTACCTTCCAAGAAAGCCATATGAACAATACTTAAGACTCTTTGCCGACTTTAATCCAGTCAAACACTTTCGAACATCTTGAATTTAAATCAAACTTCAAATCCAAATCACACTTGCAGTCTCAATGAATTCCTAACTTCAATCTTGAAATTTTATCAATGAATAGAAACCCTGATTTTTAATGAATTTTTTCTTTTCTGAACCAATACTTCTTTTCCTTTACCATACCGTTCTTCAAATGCAACTCGAATTCCCAACACATATTAGATGAAAATTCAAGGGAGACCTTGGTCCCAAAGTTACTTTTTCAAAGCTTACTTTAACCGAAGTCAACAGATCTTATCCTCGTATTTTTTGAACTTGGCCCATGATTATGCGCCTCAAGGTCTTATAAGAGCTTGTAAGCCCATCAACCAGGTATGCCATGTTGAACAAACCCTGCCTTGAATGCCTTGAATCTTGAATTAACTTGCATGAATTCTTCTATGAGAAACCTACTTCAATCCAAACCTACTCGCATCGCAGATAACAAATGATAATGATGAGGACAATGATTGCCTTGGTTAAGGAGAAATCTATGAATTCATATCTTAGGTCATGAACCACGCTTCACAATTCAACCCTCAGCCCTTAGCGATCGGTTATTTCAACTTGAGATTAGTGTCATAAGGAACATCTTACAGATGGATGATAAAGTCTGAATCACAGAAGAATTCCCTTGATGTGAAACCCTCACAATCTTGATTCCTCATTCAGACGCATAGAGAAATATTCGGATAAAACATCTTTGAACCATGATTCAACAAAACCTAATTTGATTAGCTGAGGAGTAGACGATTGTCATGTCACAGTCATTAATCCTAATCAAATGACAAGCATACTTATAGGAAAGGACGTCATGATTCGAAGCCCACATATGCTAGGTCACGTCCTAGAGTTCTTGACCAGAATGACCTACAATCGGTTGTTTATCAGAAGATAATAGCCTTGCTGCTTGAGGGAGAAGAAGTCCTTTATTGGATATGAGCGCCTTAACCACTATGAAACCCTAGTATCGCACAACCACTGAACTTTGAACCTCAGAGCTATATTGAATGAAATGTATGCCATGTTAGTGACCTAATGAAAAAGATGCAGATGAATGCAAAAGTCTAAGCCAAAAATAAAGGAAATTAGGAGGGCAAATTTTGGGGTGCAACAGCTGCCCCTATTTAATCGCCTTTAATCCTGAAGGTGAGATTGGCGTCAGCCTTTCGAACTTTCAGGGTGGAAGAAGATTAAATACTAAAAGAACCCGAAAATTTGCGCTCCGGAGTCAGTCAGGTATCATTATTTTTATTTTTCGGAATCTATTTTTATTATATTATTTTGCTTTTTGGATTACATGGGTTATCGAGGTTAGATGTATGTTTAACCAGAGTTTGACACACCGAAGGATAACTTGGTTATCGAGGAACATCTGTTGGGATTTAGCAACAGACACCTGTAAGAAAGGTATCAAAAGATATATGCCTGAAGCCTGTAGTAGACATACGAAAAAGTATCTGAGACACATATCCGGGGTTGGTAGCAGATATACAAGAAAGAGACATCAAAAATACATATCCGTGGTCGGTATCGGACACGTAAGAAAGAGATAGAAAAGATACATATCTATGGTCGGTATCGAATATGCACAAAAGAGATATCAAAGATACATATCCGTGGTCGGTATCGGATACGTACAAAAGAGACATCAAAGATACATATCCGTGGTCGGTATCGGATACGCACAAAAGAGATATCAAAGACACATATCCGTGGTTGGTATCGGATACACACAAAAGAGATATCAAAGATACATATCCGTGGTCGGTATCGGATACGCACAAAAGAGATATCAAAGATACATATCCGTGGTCGGTATCGGATACGCACAAAAGAGACATCAAAGACACATATCCGTGGTCGGTATCGGATACGCACAAAAGAGATATCAAAGATACATATCTGTGGTCGGTATCGGATACGCACAAAAGAGATATCAAAGACACATATCCGTGGTCGGTATCAGATACGCACAAAAGAGATATCAAAGATACATATCCGTGGTCGGTATCGGATACGCACAAAAGAGATATCAAAGATACATATCCGTGGTCGGTATCGGATACGCACAAAAGAGATATCAAAGATACATATCCGTGGTCGGTATCGGATACGCACAAAAGAGATATCAAAGACACATATCTGTGGTCGGTATCAGATACGCACAAAAGAGATATCAAAGACACATATCCGTGGTCGGTATCGGATACTCACAAAAGAGATATCAAAGATACATATCCGTGGTCGGTATCGGATACGCACAAAAGAGATATCAAAGATACATATCCGTGGTCGGTATCGGATACGCATAAAAGAGATATCAAAGATACATATTCGTGGTCGGTATCGAATACGCACAAAAGAGATATCAAAGATACATATCCGTGGTTGGTATCGGATACGTACGAAAGAGACAGACCGAAGAAAGCTCTTGCAAAGAAACACCAATCGAAGGCGG